GGGGGGACGGAGGCGAGTCTGGGGCTGCGGAACTGTCTTTTTACTTCTCGTCCCCCCGTTGTTGTTGTTATCTGGCGGTGGTGGGGGCGTACGCCCGTGCGGGGTGTACGTGCGTGCGTGCGTGCGTGCGTGCAGCACGCGTGCGCGCGTCCAACCAGTGAACTACTTTGTACTAGTGCAGGACTGACGGACTTTCCAATTGTTTTTTCTTTTTTTGCGTGTTCGATCGTTCGTTTGCTCGCCGGCTCGTGAGCGCGTGCGTTTCGCGAGGCTCCGTGTGTGGCTCTAGCTCGGGCCAGGCCTCGCGCTCCCCCTCCCCCTCCCTCCGGCGGCGCCACTAGGGGTGCCGCCCCTCGGCCGCGGGGGTGGGCCCAGGCCGCACGACCCCCGCGAGGGCCCTGTCGTGGGCTCGCCCCCCGGGCCTGGGCTGGCCTGGGCCCCGCGGCACGGCACTCATGCACTGCCAGACTGCGACACCCTCCCCGTGACGCCAGCCCCTGCGGCCTCGCCTGCGGCCCCCGGGCCTCCCGGGCCCGGCCCAGCCTGTGCAGCCCCCACTCACACTTCCTCTCACGCCCACCACCGCGCCACACCCGGCGAGGAGACGAGCGCAAGTCGAGCAAAGACAAAAAAATAAAATAATGATAAAAAAAATCGTTACACGTCAGTCGCTCGTTCGGTCTACCCTGTCTGCCGCCGCGGCGCGCGGGGGGCGATACTGTTGTTCTTGTTGTTGTTATTGGCACTTGTTGTTTTCTGTTTTGTGGAAAGGATGAGGATTGGTCGTGTCTGTGAAAAGAACTCTACCCTAGAGCTAGTGATATAGTTCCAACTGACAATAGGAATGCTAGTCGAGCGCACCGCTGTTGAGCCAGAAGAGAGCGAGCGACCAAGTGATGAACGACGAGTGAAGATAGTGTTTTTTCACCTTTGGAAGAGCGTATGCGTTTTGCGTCAGCTCTTCGTGCATGTAATTATTGTAAGTAATTAGTTTTTAAGTGGTCGAAGAGACAGTTGTCAAGTTGTTGTCTTTTCTGCGGAAGGCAGGGCTTGTGCTTGGAAAAAATGTTGAACACTGTTAAAATTATAGTTTTTTTATTTGATGGCCTGTTAAGGCAGAGGGAATGCTGGAGTCACTGTTCATGTAGGTTATAGATTCCATGTTGATTCTTGAGGATGAAAGTGGTCTGCCCGAACGAATAGGACGGTTTGGACCCACCCACGCCAGAGTTTTGTTATCAGCTTTTCTTGGTGTACTTGTTCCTGCTAGTCACTAGGACCATCATGTTAAAGTTGAACTGTTTTACCTAACCACTACTGTAACCTCGGAGCACCCTGTGAGCCTGTGGCATTACCTTGGCTTTGCCCAGAGGCATTGCCGGCCG